AAGCCAATCAGAATAAAATAAATACTTAATAAGGCACTGAATGGAAAAATGAATTTGCTCTGTAAACTTTCACCCAAATTACAATGTAAAAAAACAAAATGGAACCCAAAACGTATTATAGATATATCATTATGAGCATTTGAGACCTGGCCAATGGATAAGGAAGACCAGAGAAAATTGATGATTTTGAGTCATGGTGTTTGCAAATACTGAATATACCACAGACTGCAAGAACAACAAACAAACCTGTCTTAGAAGAAGTAGAGCCAAAATGCTCTTTTAAAAGCAAGTATGGCTGAACATCATCACTTTTACTGACTCTTTCAGTTAATTTACAAAAAGGGTAATGTATCGAGAAGAGATTATCATTCATTGTGAATAACAGTATGACTACTAAGGAAAGGAACAACATGTAAAGAAGGAATGTAGGGGGACACACCAGTAGGGAAGCTCAGGAGGTGAGAGACGTTTCTAATAACAAGTGGGCAATACTTTGAGACAAGTATCTATAGAAATAATTATGTTAAAATGTTAAGGAAGCTTTAGCTTTGTGGCTGTCACCATGGCGGGCCATCGCCACTGCAGCCTAGGGTTCCCTGACGAGCCCGATGCTGTTCCCCACGGCAACCATGGAGGGTATACAAACTTGAGGGAGCTAGATAGCGCACTAACTGGACAGCACTGAAGACAAGAGCATCATCTCAGTGAGGTGAAACATCTGAAGCGTCACCAGAAGCTGTGTGGAACTTAGGGGCACTGGCGTACCCTGAGGTTTAACTACTGAGAACTAGAGAGTGGAACCCACAGAATAGAGTTAATAGCTAGCAGTCTCAGCTCAGCCTAGGAGGCTATGTCCTCAGGAGATCACTTGCAGGAAGGACAGAATATGAAGTCCAGGAACCTGGGATGACTGACCTCCATGAGCTTCAGCTCAGAGAACTGAAATATTTGGTCTAATAACTTCTCAGGAATGTGTTCAACTTGTTGAGTATCAGGGCCAAGATGTGTATGTGGCAATTATCTTTACTGGGACAGGCACATTATAATTCATTGTGAATAATGGCACATTTGGTCCTATTTAATTTACGAACTATCCCTTGCCAAACTTCCCAAGAGCTTTCTTTACACTTCATTGGTAGGGCTGAATCCTTAAAGCTAGAAGCTATAAATTCCAATTTACCTTAAAAATGTTTTCATGCAATTATAAAATAGTAAGTGTAATGAAAGAATGTCTTTGGTATTGGTTTTTAAAATAAATAAATAAATAAAATGTTAAGGAAGCAGTAGTGTACGTGAAAGTGTTTCTTTAGTATCTCTTAAGCACAGGAAGATACACCATATGCTGTATATTAACATAAACATTTAACTGATATTAGATACAAATCATAGTTATCTGCTTCCATTTACTTTCACTGGACAGGTTTGGAAACATAACTGATTAGTTATCTAATGACTGTCTGTACTATTATAAATAACTTAATAAATAAGTGAGTGGAACAGAGTGGGGAGATATTCCTTGCAGAATTCCAATGAAAAAAACATAGAAGAAATGATGACAACAGAAAATACTGTTTAGTCAACACCCCAATAATAACACACATGGATAATAACTGATAATGGAGACTAACATTAAGAGGGCAAAGTTTCATGAAAAACAATATCATCACATTAGAAACTTACTAAGTATAGAGGCAAACAGTTGATAAGAGGAGAGAATGGAAGGAAATGTGTCAAATAGACAAGCAAAACAAAAAAGTCATAAATGTAAGACAAGTTTATTTAATTGTATACAAAATAACAAATGAAAACAACATCTGTTCAACACCATTCCTGCACTTATTTTGACAGGAAATGACTTTAAGATTAAAGGTAAAGTGTAGCTTAGATTGAGAGAGTTAACACTCATGAGCCCAGCCCTGCACTTACTATGAAACTGTCATTGCTCACAAGGGCACTGAGTAGTACAAACGATCCCTGCTTTGAGGAGGTATTGCTCTCTTGCTCAGAAGTATTCTTTGCTCCCCTGCTTTGGGAAATGAGGCGTCTCTCCATTCAGTTCTTATAGGTTTAGTCAGGGCACAGTTATCTCTTATGGCTTTCCCACATTGCTCACATTTTAAGGCAGCTCTTTAATGTCTAGTGAGGTGTGAAGAAAATTGAATTTTCCCACAGGCCTGACATTTTTCATACCCTTAAGGCATGTTTCCACTGTGAAATCTCGTACAAATAGTGAGCAATGAGAAACAAATAAAAGCTTACCCATATTCCTTACAACATTAAGCTTTCTCTTCACTGTGAGTTCTCCTATGTTTTATAAGGCGTGAGGAACTTTTAAAGGTTTTCCCACATTGTTTACATTCATATGGCCTCTCTCCACTGTGAGTTCTTCTATGTGTGTTGAGATTTGAGGCCTGACTAAAGAGTTTCCCACATTCTTCACATTCGTAAGGCATCTCTCCACTGTGAACTCTTATATGATTAGTGAGCAACGAGGAACAAATGAACGTTTTCCCACATTCCTTACATTCGTAAGGCTTCTCACCACTGTGAGTTCTGCTATGTATAGTGAGGGCTGAGGAACAAGTAAAGGCTTTCCCACATTGCTTACATTCATAAGGCCTTTCTCCACTGTGAGTTCTCATATGTCTAGTGAGTGCTGACGTATCCCTAAAGGTGTTTCCACATTCCTTACATTCATAAGGCCTCGCTCCACTGTGAGTTCTTTTATGTATAGTGAGGTGTGAAGCCTGACCAAAGGCTTTTCCACATTCAGTACATTTATATGGCCTCTCCCCACTGTGAGTTCTTGTATGTACAGTGAGGACTGAAGAACTACTGAAAGTTTTCCCACATTGCTTACATTCGTAAGGTCTCTCTCCAGTATGAGTACGCATGTGTTCTATGATGTAAGAGGAACTAGTAAAGGTTTTCCCACATTCTTTACATTCATAAGATCTCCCTCCAATATGAGTTTTTTTATGTACATTGAGGGATGAGGACTGAGTAAATGCTTTCCCACATTCTTTGCATTGATAGGGCCTCTCTCCACTATGAGTTCGCATATGTATAGTGAGCTGTGAGGAAGAAATAAAAGCTTTCATACATTCCTTACATTCATATGGTTTCTCTCCACTGTGAATTCTTTTATGAACAATGAGGGCTGAGGACTGACTAAAGGCTTTTCCACATTGGTTACATTTATGAGGTCTTTCTCCACTGTGAGATTTCCTATGTGAAGCGAGGTTTGGGGCACTTCTAAAGGATTTCCCACATTCTTTGCATTGGTAGGGTCTTTTTCCACTGTGAGTTTGCATATGAATAGTGAGTTGTGAGGAATACCTGAGGGCTTTCCCACATTCCTTACATTTATAAGGCCTTTCTCCAGTGTGAATTCTTGCATGTACAGTGAGGAGGGAGGACCGCTTAAAGGCTTTCCCACAGTCCTTACATTTATAAACTACTCTATTGTGAGTTTTTGTATGTTGAGTAAGGGCTGAGACATGACGAAAAGCTCTTCCACATTCCTTACATTCGTAAGACCTAACTACACTGTGAGACTTTTTATGCTTTACCAGGCTTGAGGAACTTCTAAAGGCTTTTCCACATTCCTTACATTCATAAGGCCTCTGTCCAGTGTGACTTCTTATGTGCACATTAAGGGATGAAGAACATTTAAAACTTTTCCCACATTCCTGACATTTATAAGGCCGATCTTCACTGTGAGTTCTTTTATGTGTGGTGAAGGTTGAGAACCACCTAAAAGATTTCCCACATTCATTACAGTTATAAGTTGCTCTACCATGAATTTTTATGTGGAGATTAAAGCCTCGGGCCTGAGTGAAAACTCTCCCACATTCCTTACATTTGTAAGACCTGACTCCACTGTGAGTCTTTTTATGTTTCATCAGGTGTGAGGAACGAGTAAAGGCTTTCCCACATTCCTGACATTCATAAGGCCTCTGTCCACTGTGAGTTCTCATGTGAGTAGTGAGCCCTGAGGAACATGTAAAACTTTTCCCACATTCCTTACATTTATAAGGTCTCTCTCCACTGTGAGTTCTTTTATGTATACTGAGGGCTGAGGACCACCTAAAGGCTTTCCCACATTCCGTACATTTATAAGGTTTCTCTCCACTGTGAGTTCTTTTGTGTACACAGAGGTTTGAAGAACACCTAAAGTCTTTCCCACATTCCTTACATTTGTAAGGTTTCTGGCCACTGTGAGTTCTTTTATGTATACTGAGGTTTGACGAACAACTAAAGGATTTCCCACAGTCCTTACATTTATAAACTTTCTCTCCCCTTTGGCTTTTCTTATCCATAATGAAGGATAAGGAAGAATTAAAAACTTTCCTATATTCTTTACATACATAAGACCCTTCTCCACTATGAGTATATATATGTGTAGTGTGGGATGATGGCCAACGGAAAGCTTTCCCACATTCCTTGCATTTGTAAGGCTTATCTTTGTTATGAAATTTCCTACATAAAACGTCAGATGAAGGACTATAGGATTTACAACAATCTGTACATTTACGTGTGTGTCCTCTCACATGTATCCACAAGAATGAGAAACTACAGAATTCTTCATGACATTCATTACATTCATAGCGTTTCTTCCCACTGAGTACTTTCACACGATTTTTAAGGGTTGTGATACAAACGAAGTTCTTCCCACATACCTTACATTTATGGGGTTTCTCCCCATTAAGTGTTCTCGCAGGATTGGTTAAATGACAAGGACAAGTGCAGGTTTCTCCACATTCGTTACACTGACAGGTGTGACACCCAGTGTGAGGTCTGCTATTCTGATTATGTGATGAGTGGTCCACAAAGGCATCTCTGTGCTCACTGCATTGAACAGGACTGGGGTTGGTAGGCTTTCCCAGTAGCTCAGTAACATGTGGGATCCAGGTGGAGGTCTCCTCACAGTGATTAACTTCATTACTTTCACAAACATACTCTACTGTAGGCCTGTTAAAAATAGGTCACAAGCAAAGCATTAGAAATAAATTTCTCCCTATTCAACCAGTACCATCCACAGTGAATGTGCAAGTGTTTGCTCTGACTTCTCCAGTCTTTCAGAGCTGAAATCATCTAGAAGAACTACTGTGTCCCTGCTGTCAATGTTTTTCTAAACTATGAGCCTTTTGCTCACTGTGTCCACATGAAACAGGTTCACATCATTGATAGCTCACTCCCATTAAGGGAAATGTTTTACTGTGGAAAATCACTGAACATATTTTCAATCCAATCTCCCACACAGGCCCCAGAAAGTTTTAGGACTCACATGGGAGACTGGATTCATGGAAAGACTGTGGAGTAACACACATTCAAAGAGGGGTGGTTAGTCACCATCCTGAAATGGGCCAACACTCATACTTTCACACTCTAGACAAAATCCAAAGGCAACAGACATGTATGCTGTGCAATACACAGGTAAGCTTACATTGGCAATATCAAAACCATTACGAAGTGACTCGAAATCCTGGTGTACATACACATAAATATATATAATGTCATGACAACTTAATGCTTTATCCGAAGGCACTATCTTCTTTTGCAGGAATTATACTCACCTCAAATGTATCTCTTGATTTTTAATCTGATCTTCACCACCATGCTTTTTGGAGAATTCCCCTAACATTGAGGACCAGATGTTATTCTTCATGAATCCCATCATGATATGTTTACGAGATACTTTTTGTCCATGATGTAGGTTTTTAGAGACTGTGGCAATAATTTCAGTTGAGGTTCAAAAATATGAAACAGAAAGGAAAGAAAGTGAGGCGAGAAAAAGAAATTGTAAAGAAAAAATAGTTAGCCCCATTGCAGTTTGCTTACCTTGGCAATGGTTCAAAAATAACTGACTTAAAAAACAATTCCGTGAGGATTGATGGTGACATATACACAGGAGTAATTAATTAAAAGAACTAAGCTGAAAGATACTTGTTGTTGTT